GTGACCTCAAGCTCAATCAAAACAGAAGAATAATATTTTCCAGATGTTAATTCTAATTTATTGACTCAGAATATACATTTGTCAAAATGCTAACACTCTTCAGTGCAATCTCTTGAAAACTGGATATTTTATTTTACTTTTTAAATGTATTCTTCTCTCATACACTGCATTGCAACCATAGTGCGCCCATCTCCCATCTCCCCCAGTTCATCCTACTGTTTCTCTTCAGAAAAGAGCAGGCAATCAGAGATATCAACCAAATATGAGAAGACAAGTTACAATAAGACTAGGCACAAACCCTCATACCAAAGCTGAGAAAGGCTACCCAATAGGAAGAAACGGGTCCAAAAGAATAGGTGAAAGAGTGAGATGCATGGACCTTTCCTACTGTTAGAAATCCCACAAGATCACAAAGTTCCATAACCATATATACATACATACATACATACATACATACATAGAACCATATATAGAAAATCTAGCACAGGCCTATGCAGGCTTTGGGATTGATACTTTGGTCTCTGTGAGTCCCTATAAACCTTATCTAGTTGATATTGTGGTCTGTGACCTCTTAGTGGTCTTGATCCCTCTAACTCTTACGATTCTACCTAAAGTTCTTCCTTGGGGTCTCCTGAGCTTCAAAGGGAGGACCCAAAGGAGATATTTAATTTGGACCCTCTCTCCTCCTAATGTCTGGCTGTGAGTCTCTGCATCTGCTCCAATCAGTTGCCAGAAGCCTCCACTCTGAGGACGATTTGACTGAACAAGAATACAACAAAGTGATTTTGCTTTTTTTTCTATCCTAGGTCTCTGTGCTATCCAGCCTCCAATTCCTGGTTATCCAGGCAGTGTGCAACATTGCTCTCTCTGGTGGCACGGGCCCCAAATTACCCCAGTCATTTTTCTGGCCATTTTCACAAACTTTGCATCTCCATTGCCCCAGCACATCTTGCAGGTAAGTTAGATTGTTGGTTGAAGAGAAACTTGAAAACATTTGTTTCTGTGGGTTTTTTTGTGATGTCCTTGACCACTCTGGTTCTTACAATCCATCATCCCTCCCTTCAGCAGGATTTCCTGAGTTTGACCTAATGTTTGGCTGGGGTTCTCTGCATCAGTTTCCATCAGTTATGGAAAGAAGACTTTCTGATGACATTTGGTTTAGTCAGCACTCTGATCACAGGAGATGACCAGCTTCATAGTTGTGGGTTTTTTTTTTTTGTTTGCTTGTTTGTTTGTTTTTTAAGTTGGGGTCATCCTTGTAGTTAATGGGAGATTCTTTTAACTCAGGTTTCTACCTTAATCCAAAAAATACCCTCTTTCCTGTCAACTCTTTCAGTATTCTGTTTCTCCATTCAACCCCCACCTAGCCCAATCCTTCAATTTCCCATACCCATGTGACCCAGTCCACTCTGGAGACTTCTTCTATTCCTCTTTTTCAAAAAAATCCATGCATTTCCCTTAGGCCCTCAACCTGCCTCATAGGAACTCTCAGAGACTAAACCAACAACTAGGAAGCCTGTATGGGACTGAACTCTGTATTCTGCATGTATGTTACAGTTGTGTATCTTTGTCTAATTGTGTGACTTATAACAGTGGGAGTAGGGGTTGTCCCTAACACTTTGACTGACCCGTGGAATTCCTCATATTGCAATGCCTTACCCAGCCTTAATTCAAGTGGAAGTACTTTTTCTTAATGTAACTTGATATGCCATAATTTCTTTATACTCATGGGAGGTCTGCCCCTTTCTGAACAGAAAGAGAGGAGGAGTAGATTGATGGAGGTTGGGTAAAGGGGGAAGGGAATTAGAGAAAAGGGGGGAGAGGAAACTGCAGTAGAGGTATAAAATAAATAAACAATTTGGTTAAAAGGAAAAACTGCAAAGTTTAATCATACCTTTAAACTAAAAGAAAATAAATACATTTCACAAAATGTAAGTACTTCTGAGTGATTAGAAAATTTCTTTTGAATATAGCTAATGCTTATTAGATATTTGCAACTCCAGGAAGTAGAATATTTGTTAATTATGTTCCTTTTCCTGAAGCACATATTACAGGCCATTTTAACTTTTTCTTCTCTGTCAAGACTTCTATTTCTTTCATCCATCAAATGTAGATATCATTTATACCCATAAACTTTTGTCTTATAAGAACTAACAAAGGCATATACCTGACATTTCTAAAAATTTGCAGATTTAATCTCATAATGAATCATGATTTTGTGCAATGCTTATGACATTTTATCATTTTAAAGTGACACTTTTTTAATCCCTATAAATAAAACTACCTTAACCTTAAGAGCAAAAATACCTACATCTATGAATATATTCTGAGATTGATAGCATGAAAGTAGTTCATAATGAGATCATTTATTTGAGAATATTACTGAAATGCTTGTAATCTGATGACATCATTTGTATTCATAATTCTCTATACTAACATTAAATATGTACTTATAGACGGGTGTGGTGGTATATCCCTGTTACCCTCATAGGAAGGAGTTAGAAGTTTCATGTCATCCTATGTTGCCAATAAATAGTAACTTAGCAAAAAAATACAGCAACAGTTCCATATATCTTCAACAATTCTTGAGGCAGAGATAGGCCAATCTCTGAGTTCTAGACCAGCAGGGCCTATATAATGAATTCTGGGTCAACAAGACCTGCACAGTAAAACCCTGTCTCAAATAAAAATGACATACACATACATTTATTTATATAGTGGTGTTCTCATTTATGGAAAACAACCACCATGTAAGCCTTTCAATTTTATTTATTATGAAACTGGTTACGTTACTCAAAATGGCAAATCCAATGAACAATATAAAATATGCTTTCTTGTTCATTGGCAAATCCAATGAACAATATAAAATATGCTTTCTTGACACTATACTGAGTGAGGTAACCCAGACCCAAAAAGATGAACATGGGATGTACTCACTCATAATTGGTTTCTAGCCATAAATAAGGGTCACAGAGTCTACAATTGGTGAACCTAAAGAAGCTAAGTAAGAATGTGTACCCAAGGAAAAACATATAGTTATCCTCTTGGCTATGTGAAGTAGACAAAATTGCCGGGGAGAAAATTGGGATCTTGGGGGTGGGGTGGGATGGGGGTAAGGGGAGATGGGGAGAGAAAAGGGAGAAGAAGGAGAGGATGGGGAGAACTTGGGGAAAAATGATGATTGGGATAAAAGAAGGTTGGATAGGGGAGCACGGAACCACAATTCTTAGTTAAGGGAGCCACCTTAGGGTTGGCAAGAGACTTGAACCTAGAGTGGCTCCCAGGAGCCCAAGGCGATGTCCCCAGTTAGTTCCTTGGGCAGCTGAGGATAGGGAACCTGAAATGACCCTATCCTATAGCAATACTGACGAATATCTTGCATATCATTATAGAATCTTCATCTGGTGATGGATAGAGATAGAGACAGAGACCCACACAGGAGCACTGGACTGAGCTCCCAAGGTCCCAAGGAGGAGCAGAAGGAGGGAGAACATGAGCAAAGAATTCGGGACCACGAGGCGTGCATCCACTCACTGAGACAGTGGAGCTGATCTACGGGGAGCTCACCAAGGCCAGCTGGACTGTGACTGAAAAAGCATGGGATAAAACCGTACTCTCTGAACATGGCGAACAATGAGGGCTGATGAGACACCAAGGACAATGGCAGGGGGTTTTGATCCTACTTAATGTGCTGGCTTTGTGGGAGCCTAGCCAGTTTGGATGTTCACCTTCCTAGATATGGATGGAGGGGGGAGGACCTAGGACTTACCACAGGGCAGGGAACCCAGACTGCTCTGTGGACTGGAGAGGGGGGGGGGGAGAGGAGTGGGGGGAGGGGGAGAAGGGTGGAAGGAGGAGGAGAAGGGTGGGAGGAGGGGGAGAAGGGTGGGAGGAGGGGAAGGGAAATGGGAGGCTGGGAGGAGGTGGAAACTTGTTTTTTGTTTATTTTTTTTTCTTCTTTTCGCAATAAAAAAAAAAAGAATTTGATATTCCTATGTAGAGCTAGCCACAAGTCTGTTGTCCAGTAAAGGGTACCTATAGAAAATAGTGCCATAAATTCAGTGTTTCATTTGGCTTTTCGTTAGGGTCTAGAATAAGTAAGTAGTTGGTATTTTTCAGCAAATGAGAGTCTACAGCCTCCTTTATGCTAAGAGATTAGGCATCAACTCATACAAATTAAACATTTCACACATACATAAACACACACACATAATGAACAATATAAGATATATTTTATGATAATAAAATATATAACATAAAATATCAGGAATGTAATCTTTAACAAATTGTGTAACAATATTTTTTTTCTAAATTTTCTATCAACTGCTTAATTAAATGATGAGAAACACATATCTGTGTCACTTCTTCATCAGTTTTTGAGCCACTGTTCTTGGGAATAAGTGTGTTCATATACAAAAATTACAACATAAGAATCAAAGAACATATTTAAAAGATTTTGTATGAAGTACTTTAAAAGTAGTTTAAAAAATATGTGGCTGTCATGACTGGTTATTACAACACAAATCATGTGTTGGCCTATAGCTGTTAAAATCCCTAGCTGCTGAATGTACTAAAAATTAAATTATATTTTCTTCTCTTCTACTCTTCAGAATTTTGGCTGATCTTTGAGGTTAAATCACTTTTTTGACCTCAAAGATCTTTCCAGAAGTACTCATAAGAAGTTGTCTCTGGAGCTTTCTACTTTAAGGTAACAAATGATCTGGGCTGTGCAGCTCATGGGGAAAAAAATCAGGAAAGGATTAGCAAATGTAATGCAGAACTCCCCTGAAGTACATTAACTTTGTAAATTGTCAGCTGGTCGATTTGTTATTTATAAAAAATATTCAGTTCCCAAACAAAAATAATAGCATGTTATAAGATATTAATATTTGAAAAAATTGGTTTTCATTGAAATAATCAAGTTTCATGAAAATATGTTTAACTGTCAATGAAATTGGGGAATAGCATTTGTACTTCTGGAGCATGTTATCAGGGGTTACCTAGAAAATGAATAACACAGTACGTTTCCTCGCAGGGCCAGGGGGTCACTCTGCCTTCAAAGCCAGATCGGATGTCAGCAGGCAGAAGGTCTCGCCTCTAGGGGATGACTGCCTGCTCAGATCTTGGTAACTTGCTCACGGTTGTATTAAATATTCCTGGTTGGTTTTGGCTGAAAAAAAGAAAAGAAAAGAAAAGAAAATGAATAGCAGGGTTCATATTTCTTAACTGGCCTCAAATACTTTGTCAAAGCTCCATCCATGATATTTTCGCTTTATCATTAGTTTTCTACATACCTCCGAGGAATAATATTGTGAAATGGGTTTTGTAATGTTGACATATTTTCTGTTGTTACTTGAAATATTCAAAGCTGCCTCCAGTGAGAAAACTTTCTCCTCAATCTAGGTGATTGTGAACTTAAAATTTATTAATGATATAGCTGATAATTGGGATCTGCTTCAATATTTCTATATTATTTCTTCAAATTTATTTGTTGAAGAAACGTGGTTCACATCTTATATACTGAACACAACCACTGACACAAGTCATAATAATAAAATATTTACTTAATAATTTCAAAATTTTAGAATTCTGTTCTTTAAAAATAAATACGTATTTTCATTTTATGTGTATGGATGTTTTGCTTGCATGTTTATCTGTGCGTTATGTGAGTATAGTACCCAGGGAGGACATAGCAGAGCAACAGACCCTGGAATTGTGGATATAGATTATTGGGAGCTGCCATGATGATGCTGGAAATCAACCTTGTAGATTGATTGTAGATCAGTCATTGCTCTTAACTGCTTAGTCATACCTGAAGCTCAAGTTAAAAAATAAAGTACCAAAATGTATTGTAATTAATTTTAAGACAAACAAGAACAGGGTTTTTATGTTAGCTTTTATTTCTTTGTTTTCTTACATATGTCTGTATTAGTTTATTCTCTTATACTGCTAGTTTCATTTCCTATGTTTTGAAGAAATGACTACAAAATATAAAAAGATAGTATGACTTTCCATCAAAACTAAACAAAACAAAAGCTTCTCTCTATGTAGTGGTATTTTTCTTGTGATCTAGGATCTAGTGAATAAAGCTTGCTGGAGATCAGCATGTGAAGCTAGCCACTAGTTAAACATAGAGGCCAAGTAGTGGCATACACACACCTTTAATCCTAGGATTAAGGAGGTGAAGACAGGAGTGTATGTCTGGGCAAAGAGAGGAATATAAGGCAGGCAGAGACAGGAGCTCAGGGCATTAAGTCCAAGGTTTAATAGAGACAGAATCACCCATTCAGTATGAGGATTTTGTAGAGATAAGAACTAATGGCTGGCTTCTCTGCTTTTCTGATTTCAGGAGTTATCTTGATATCTGACTTGGAGTTTAGTAGTAGGAGTAGTAGTAGTTTCTTTTTCTTTTATTTTTTCCAGACATGGCTTCAGGGCTTCTCTGTAGCTTTGGAGCCAGTCCTGGAACTAGATTTTGTAGAACATGCCGGCCTCAAACTCACAGAGGTCTGCCTGCTTCTGACTCCTGAGTGCTGGGATTAAAGCAATGAACCACTAGCGCCTGGCCAGGGTTTTTATTACTAAGATCAGCTAGAATCCACACTACATCTGGCACCCACCATTTGAGTTATGAATTCACAGAAAAGTAACTTGCCTGTGGCTTTGTAGCAACCATCATAGGCAGGAACTACACACAGGTGGTGTGACTCCCCAATGGCTAGGTTTTACTTTTTTCTCTCCTAGTGGGCCTTTCCCGGAACCCCTTCTCAGGTTGCTGGTAAAAGAGGTAACTTGTCATGAAACCTGCTCAGACTTCTGCTGTTCTACCACCAGCAGTTAACTTCACATCTTCATGGTCATTGTCAGCAGATTTGGTGAGATAATTGATGTTGGTGGAAGCCTGAAATAACCACACGGAAACTATATTATTTGCAATGCCATCTGGCCAATAGTTTAAGCGTATTTTCTAGGTAACTCTTATACCCTAAACTAGCCCATCTCCATTAATTTGTGCATAACCACGAGGTCGTGGCCTACAGGGAAAGTTACAACAGGCTCTGGTGGAGGAGTCTGTCTCCTGCAGCAGCTACATGGCTTCTTTCGGACACTGCCTACTCTCTCTCTCTCTCTCTCTTTCTCTCTCTCTCTCTCTCTCTCTCTCTCTATATATATATATATATATATATATGTATGTATATGTATATATATTCTTAAACCATTGACTGAAAACATCTTCTTTATTAACCAATGACAATAAAACATATTCATAGAATACAGAGGGGAATCCACATCAAATGGGGATTCTTAAAGGGCAGAATTAATTTAAAAAGACAGGTTTTTTTCCTACATTAAAAAAGGTCTCTGCATGGTTGTTCAATACATAGTTTAATAATGCAACAATCAAATGAATGGATAATCCACTTAGTTGGTATTGACACAATGTTAGTTATCATCTTGGTAATTATTGGTTTATCTCTCAAGAAGTTGTTTGACAAGAGTGCCAAGATACAGTCCATAGAAAATCGTATGAAAACAGATTATAAAGATATTCAAATCCAGACACAGGAATTTAAAGGAGAACCAGTTTCAGCATGACATTATGAAGTTAGAGAGGAACAGCCTAAGGCTTTCAAACAACCATACTGAATAATTTCAATCACACACACACACACACACACACACACACACACACACTACAAAATGTGAAGGTATCTCTAATTCCATGTATTTAATAGAAATTTTTAAATACTGATTTTGGCAGCCACAACCTTCTAACGAGGCTACTGAATACCAGTAATAATAGTGAAACTATATAAGAATCTATCAAGAAGCAACCTACCCTCTGAAGAATACAGAGTACTTTTTTCTTTTTCATTATGTGGTTAGACTTGAATACAAACTCTTGTTATAGTAAGCTCCTAATACTGCCTTCTAAAAATATTTATGAAATTAGTTATTTTAACTCAGTACAGAATGCATTACCAGAGTCCAACTTTACTTTCAAAATGACGCCTACATCTTTACTTTGATTATCTTCCTGTGTATAAATTCCAAATAGACTAGATATTTACATTGAATTCATAATTTATGGAAATTCTATGAAGTGACTAACAAAGGATATGCAATCTTTCTCAGCATACTTGTCTAATTTTGATGGAATTCACCTATGAGCAATTCTAATGTGGCTACCAAATTACAGTGTATTTTGGACAGTCTTGCCTTGTTTGTTCTGAGGTTGTTATCAGGATTTAATTACATTATATGAATAACAATCTGGGTTGCTAATTACAAGGCATTTTGAAATGAAACATAGCCATTGCTTTCTAATATGCCTTTCACTTGGGAAGTTAAAAGTTTTAGTTTTACACCTTTGTGTAAACATTGTTTAAATGTTTTTTTTTTTTTAATCAATTGTGAGAAATTTTTTAACAGAAGTAAAAGTGAGCCTTTGGAAACTGATTTTAATCATATAAGTACTAAGAATGAGTTAACTGGTACTTATTTATTCATGAAACATCTTTTGTTCATAAGAAAACATATTTAACATTAGAGAATCATTAACTTAGCATTTGAACTTTTTCATAAGAGAAAATTTGGTCCATTAAACAGAAATTACATTTAAGCATATAAAGTTATGATTTCATTAAGATGGAATCGAACTGAAATACAATAAATAGTGTATATTTTGAAGTAACTTAATTAACATAATAATCAGAAGAACTGATAATTAAAGAATATTCTTATCTTTAATGAAGTTAAACTTTATTACAAATACAGAGCAAGTCTTTCTCTGCTTCTCTTCACATGTAGTCATAGTTACATAGATACTTCTTGCTAAATGGGATGAATGAAGTGCCTTATATTTTATGAGACTTTCTGCCCTTCTTTTGTCATTAAAACTTGGTTTATGTTCTATAGATGATCAACTCTTAGATTTTTCATGACCCAAAAGGCTCTAATGCATTATTACACTAATAGCCACATCTAAATGTGAAAGCCTTTGGAATTCAAGACAAAGAGGTGATGGAGTAGAGACAGTGAAACATTGACTCCACCACTTGCTTCTGTAGGATGACAATACATATACTGTATTTTCTTCACTTCACTGTCTTAGAAATCATGCCAGTCTTTATGTCTTTGTCATTTTCCTTTTATCTCCCTGAATCTGACTCTTTCTGTTCTTCATTCCAGAACTATCTATCATCGACACATAACTAAATTATCTCCATTCCCTCAAATCTTTTCTTAATGTATCCTGCTCAAGGTTCTGAATTTGAACTAGAATGTTTTAAAACAGTACCCAAATTCTTGTTGCTTTCTATTCCACAGAAAGAATGGATTTTTGTCTTGAAAACTAATAATCTAATTTTAGTGAATTGTCTGCCACACGTTATAGTATAAATGTATGTGAGTCCCTAGAAATTATCACAACATCTAAGTGAACCTTCTTTCATTTATAGAGTATGAATATTTCATTTTACTTAGATTATTGCAAGAATGTTATACACCACTCAATTTTGTTCATAAAGGTGTTGGCCACGTCAACATTATGTTCAAGTACTTATTAGCTTCAAAACCTTCAAACAAACAAATATGCAATGTTGTCTGCATCTACTTGTGTGTTTATGTATTTATGCATGTGTGTATGTGTGTATGTATGTATATATACACATATGCACGTATATTTGTGTGTGTGTTTACATTTTCACACCAGAAAGAGATGCTATTGTTTATGAGTATCAAAATCTTATTCTTCCTACTGACAGTGCTAAGTTATATTGTGTGAGAAGTGAAAAGGAGCAGGGCTCTTTTGATAGTCTGTTGACAGGTAGAATATTCAATTTACAGTGACAAAGTAGACATTTATAAATGCCTCCTAGCTATGCTTCAGAGTAAAAATTTTTCTTAGAATGCTCTGTAGAAACCTGTTTGAACAAGCTGTCATATCTTTTACAAATCCACCAGCTACTTTTTATGAGTTTTAGCAGCTCTTTATGGCTATAATAAAGGGAGAGTAGAGGCCATGTGTGTATCCAACAAGCCCCAAAGCAAGCATCCTAACACACAAATGTAATGAGATGTTCAGATGTTCTTTTCCTTCAGCTGTCTGGCTGTTCTCTTAACACATGTTTTCATCATCATTTCATTGTCGCTGTAATAATG